ATTCATGTTAAATATGATAATTTAAAATAATAAACCAAACAAAAAATTGTGGACTATTAAAAAACCTTACAAAATGTAAAAACAATTAAAATCCTTTTTTTCATTTTCGCCAACTCTCTCTTTTATTTCCAAACTATTTACAGAAAATACAAATACTAATAATGCTTATATAGATAGATATGTACAATCGTTATGAGGGCTTCCGACGGACTCTAGACAAAGTCGAACTCGAAGCCGTCCTCCTGGTACTCGTAGTCGCTGCCGTCGCAGGTCACCTGCACGTGCTTGTTGCACCGCCAGTAGTGGTACTCATTGGGGTGCATTTGCGTCCACATCACCTCGCTGAACACCTGGAGGGGCTTGGCGTTGCGCTCCATGCTGCGGATTTGCTCCAGCTTCTGCAGCTTGTCGCTGTTGCTGTGGTAACCGTTGAGGGCCAGCTGGGTGAGCTGCGTGCACTCGGCAACCAGCTCGAGCAGCTGATTCTCTCGCACCGTCTCCCAGCCGCTGAAGCTGAGCACCTTCATCTGGGAGCAGGGTATGTGCCGGTTGTCCAGAAAGAAGACGTCGTGGTACCAGTTCTCGCAGACGAGGGCGCGCAGCTTGGGCAGCTCCAGCAGGAGGCTGTGCTGCCAGCGGGCGGGCAGCTGCACCACCTCGTTGTTGAGGGCGATGCGCGTGATTGACTCGCTTTTGGCCACAATGATCTGCTGGAATATGGTCTCCTGGTCGGCGTGCAGCTGGCGTGAGTCGTCGAAGCGCACGGCCAGCTTGCGCAGCTTGGGCAGCTGCAGCACCTGGGAGAGCATGCACTCCACGGTGCTCAGGTTGATCTTGAGCACCTCCAGGTTGGGCAGCTTGATGTCGTGCAGTCGCACACAGCTGTCGAAGGAGTCGGTGATGTCCAGGACCCTCAACTGGGTCATGCTCAAGCAGATTTCCTGTATCCACCGGCTGTCCAGCGGCACCGAGTGGTACATGGACTTGAACACCAGCTGCTCCAGCTTCCTGAAGCCCCGTATATACAAGCCCGACAGATTCATGCAGCTGGTCAGGCGTTTCAGGTTGGGCAGCATCGCAGTCAGGTCGCGTATGTCCTCGTCCACCATGGTGTTGGGATTGCCCCCCAGCACGCAGCTCTCCACGTTGGGAAACCGCAGGATGTTGATGTCGCACAGGTGTCTGATGTAGTCGTAGAACTCGGCAAAGGAGCCCACTCCGTCCTCGTGCACGTGCAGCTCGGTGAAACGCGAGGCCATGTTCTCCATGAAGAACACGTAGTCCTCGATGTCCAGCAGGCCCAAGAACGGGGTATTGGGTCCCACGATGCGAAAGTGCCAACGCTTCTGCCAGATGCGCAGGACCTGCGGCAGGAACTGCGGGTACGCACGTGCCATTCGCACCTGGTCGCTGATGTAGTCGATGCGCTCGAAGATCTGCTCGAAGAAGATCTCGTGCAGGTTGTCAATATAGTTTGGAGCCAGTGGCTCCGGCAGGGGCACACGCTGTGCCTCCAAGGCGTGCTTGTAGAACTTTTTGTTTTGCAGCATGATTCGAGCAGTTGAAGATTTCTTTCAATGACAATCTTTCAATTACAATTCAATAATGATTCCTAGGCTTGCTTTTCTAGTCTTCAAATTACGAATGAATCTCTAAAGTGATTAATAATTAAGAGGATTGCTATTTTGAAATCTTTTGCTCGATTTAGCAGGCTCTAATAATTTGTCGAAGAGTGCTTGACTCGGTGTTGCTTGCTTCGCAATTGAGAGCGGAATGTGTTGAAATGTCAGGTGAGTAATGCTTATATCTGCGCACAGGTAGTCCTTCAGTGCACCCTCGTACAGGTAGTCCTGGCGCTTAACGAACTTGGCCAAGGCATTTGACTAATCCGCTCAGCAGCTGCGCGTCAACTGCACAAAGTTAGTTCGGGCCGCGATGCAGGTACGGCCTTTTGGCCTGTTAGGATCGTGCCAAGAACATAAATTGCAGTACAGTGTCTACAATTTGTACACGTATGCAGAGCCGTCTTATCTGTACAGTTATCGCTCGTCTAGTTTGCATATTACACGACTCCAGACGTGTAAGTTTGCATTGCTCCTTGGCCGGATGCGTGCGCAAACGTGGTCAAGAGTTTTGTTCTGTTGCCCTTGTCTGCTTGGCTTTCCTAGGAAACTGTTGATAACAACAAGAAGGCGAACTGCTGCAGTAGCAGCAGCAGCAGCAGCAGCAACAAATAGAATCTCGACTCTTTTTGAAGCCTTTTTGCTTTGTCTAGTCGCTGCTGCGATCTAATAATCAAATCTGTCGCCTGCTGTTGCTTTTTCAGCAGCTTAGCGCGCGATTAGAGCACCGAATGACAATGCGAGCGAGATTTAGAATGGGAAGCTGAATGAGAATGGCGTTGCCTGCAGGTTCACACCACGAAGTGCCACACAATAACCATTGATAACTATGTATTTAGAAACATATTTGTATATTTGTACGTACGCATATGCCATGCAGGTTGATACTCTCTTAAAGTGTACCACAACTTTGTGAATAGCTTTGTCGAGTGCATATATATAAATAACTATTAAAATTAATATTTAATATCTCTTTTTTTTTTATTAATATATGCCCTATAATATAAATATATATGAATT